CTTATCGAGAATGTGTCGGAACAAAATTCTTACTATTAAGGATAAGTTTGTTAATTGAACAGGAGAACCTAAAGCTCTCAAAGATATGACTGTTAGGTTTTTTGAAAAGGTGTATAAGGATGAGGGGATTCCTAGTACTCCTTGTCCTCTGGCCGGTTGTTTTCCTAAAATAACCAACCCATCTTTTCACCAGTTGCACACTTTGCCCTCTAATATTGAAAGTAAAGAGTTGTTCTTTAGAATGAATTTAGAATGCATCTGTTTAAAGTTCCAGGATCCGATGGTCTTCAAGCATTATTCATCCATTCTTAATGGGATATCATTAGCAACTCTTTTCGTAGTTTTATCAAAATAATTTTCAAAGACGCAAATGAGGCCCATAAATAAGTCCCTTCTCTGCCTTATTTCGAAAGTGGAGAATCCTAACTCAATTAAGAAGCTACGACCAATCAACCTTTGCATTGCTGTTTTTAAGGCTATACAAAAATTCTGGCAAATCGATTGAGACCTCATTTGAGCTTTCTAATCCTTCACAATCAATACAGCTTCATTAAAGGAAGGCACAACACAAACAATATTATTATTGCCCAAGAAATCATGCATTCCATGAGATTTAAGAAAGGCCAAAATGGGTGGATGGCCATTAAGGTCAATCTTGAAAAAGCCTATGATAGGGTGAACTGGAAATAACTTCAACTTATTTTGGGTAAAGTTGGTCTTTCTTCAGCAGCGATTAACATGATTATGGAGAGTGTCTCCACTATCTCCCTCAATGTTATTTGGGATGGCTCCACCACCAGGGAGTTTAATCCAACCAGGGGAATTAGACAAGGAGATCCTCAATCTCCTTAGCTATTTATGATATGCATTGAAAGATTGGCTTATCTTATCTCTCTTGCCTTGAACAACAAGCAGTGGAAACCTGTGGTTCTTAAGAAGAAAGGCCCTCCCATTAGTCGTTTGTTTTTCGATGCAAACCTTTTTCTTTTTCTGAAGCATTAGTGGATCAAGCGGTCCTTATTGAAAAGATTCTTAATTGCTTCTATCAATCTTCTGGACAGAAGGTGAGCAATGAGAAATCAAGGGTGTTATTTTCCAGAAATGTAAACCACATAAGAGCCACCAAAATTGCTCAAGCGTTGGGCTTTTCAATGACATCAGACTTGGGGAAATACTTAGGTATATATTTTTTCATGGAAGAACTAGTGCCAATTCTTTTAACCATGTTTTGCAGAGAATGGATTCTAAGTTGTCGAATTGGAGGAGAACCTCGTCACCTATGGCTGGTAGGTCCACCCTTCCCAATCTGTTCTGGCTTCTATACCAATGTACGCTATGCAAACTTGCTTACTACTTGTAAAAACGACATTGAAAGATGCTCTAGGGATTTTTTATGGGGTTCAATGCTGGAGAAGAGAAAGATGAAATGTGTGGCATAGATCAAAATTTGTCAGCATAAGAAGAATGGTGGACTCGATTTAGGAAGATGAGAGGGATGAACTAGACACTTTTAATGAAGATGGGTCATGGTATGCTAATGCATAAACACAGCCTACAGGTTCAAGTGTTAAGAAACAAGTATTCTGTTGGAGAAGCTTTGATTTTCTCGATCAAACTCGCTAGGTAGAATTCAAATCTCTGGAAAAGAATTTTGAAAGTCTAACCTAAGGCCATATAAGGGGTCTAGGATTCAACTTGGAAATGGATCAAATACCAACTTTTGGAGTGACAAATGGCTTATCGATAATGAAATTATCTAGCCGAAGGAATCAATCCATATTCCAGAGGAAATAAGCAATTGGACAGTATACCACTTTGTCAATTATGAGGGTAGTTGGAATTGGACTCTAATTAACCAATTTGCTTCCAATAGATCTTGTGAAGCTATAGCTAATAATATCCACCCACAGCTCAAAATGGAGAAGACTTGGTGATTTGGGCAAAGACAAGCGATGGTAATTTCTCTGAAATCTGCCTACTTTATATCTGAAGAACTTGGTCAAGGCCAAGGAGCAACCAAAATTTTGAGCCCTTAAAAATAGAAGAGGCGCGTTCGTATCCAATTATTCCTATGAAAAACACTAGGGAATCATCTGCTAACAAATATGGCCAGAGGACAGAGGAACTTGAGTTGATGCATTCTTTGCCCTAGGTGCAATCTAGCTCTAGAGGACACGATTCATGTTTTTAGAGATTGTGGTTGGAGTAGAGAGATTTGGACTTGGTTAGTTCATCGAGACTTTCAACCTACTTTCTTCGAACAACCTTAAGGACCGAATCATCTCGAATATCAATTTGAAATCCTCGCTGGATCTGCAAATGGAGTGGAGTCAAGTCTTTGGTGTCATCGTTTGGCATATCTAGAAGGCTAGAAATGATTTTGTGTTCAATTAGAAAGTTTCCAATCAGGAGGCAATAGTAAGGGTTTCAAAGATTTTTGTATCAAATTTTAAAAGAGCTTGTAAGAAGATAAGAAGGAATGGAACTCAAAGATGGGAAAATACAGATAAATTTATATGTTGGCAATTCCCCCCTCATGGTTAAGTCAAGCTTAATATTGATGGCTCAAGTATTAGGGGAGGAGCACAATCCACTTGTGGGGGTGGGGGCGGGGTGGTTATTAGAGATGATGCATGTAGATGGATTATGGGATTTAGTAGAAATCTGAGAAGTGGCTCATCCTTAAGAGGGGAAGTCTGGGACTGCTCATTGGAATTCAACTTACGTGGGATTTAGGGGTTCAAAAAGTCTGGATTGAGGGGAATACTCAAGTTGCCATTAATCACATTGTAAACGATTGTGGAAAATTTCATCTGATTGCCCCTTTGGTGAAGCAAATTCATAATTTGCTGTGGAGATAGTGGACGACAAATATCAATCATACGTATAGATAAGGTAATATGATAGTTGATACCCTGGCCTCCCATAGGAATAAATGGACTGATTGGAATCTTCATGTAAGAACCACCACTACAATGTTAAATCCTCTTAAGTAAGAATGCAATGGGCATTTCTAGCCCAAAGTTATGTAATTTATGTTACTGTATTTTTCTTATTTTCAAAAAAATAAAATGAAAAATGAAAACAAACATGTTCTTAATTAATATTTTATTTTAAAGTTTAAGTTTTGTGCGCACAAATATTTATTTAATTTATATAAAGTCATCAGGCTCAATCTTTTTTTTAATACGTCTTTTATGTGTTCAATCTAGTAAGAAAAATATTAAAAAATAACCTTTACATTTTACAGCATTATTTTTTAAAAATTAATGAGGATTACATATAAATATATGATCATTTTACATTGATATAAATTGCATTCTTAACAATTAAAATTAGATATTAAATTTTCTATGTTAACACCGATGTAAATATTCTCCCTTCTTATATAAGTATTTTTAAATTTGTATAAAATTTAAAAATACTAATAATTAATTTTAAAAATATTCATAATTAATTTAAAATAAAATATGACAGGTATGATTCCTTTAGAGCTCTATTTGTTGAGAATTGGAGCTTTAAGCGAATTTATGTCCCATGTTTCTGTTGATCTCTAAACCCAAATTGAATTGAAAATAAAGATGAGAAGGAGGGAGAAGAAGTTTGTGCTGGGATTTTTTAGACCCGAGTATTAGTAGTTCAGTCAAGTCGGGTTCCATTTGATTTCAAAACTCGACACCTGAATGGTTAATGGGTAAAGTTCATCTAATGATAAAAAACTATTTGTTGAAAATTATACAATAAGATTTTTTTTTTTTTAAGAAATCGTTTTAAATTAAACAAAATCAGATGAGAGTTTATTTTTTTTTGGTTGTTTTATGAAATACACATGACTAATTTTTATTGAAGCTATCTCTCCTTTTATATCATAGATTTAAATTTTGTAATTCTTAAATTTATGCTTTCAAATCCTAATATATTACTTGGTATTCTTATAATAACTTCCTTTTTCTTTATATTATCAAATAATAATTATTTTCCTCTTGAATGATATTTCCAATGTCACAAATAAAAATAAAAATAAAAAATTCTCTTAATTAAAAAACACCCTTAACCCAGCCGTTGTCCATAAAATCCAAAAGGCGTTAGGAAATAGGAAAGGAAATTATTATTTTTTGGTTACAATAGGAAAGGAAATTGAGGCGGTAAGAAAACACGGAAAAAAACACGAAGAAAAGAAGCAATAGGCAATCCTCGATATTCGAATGGTGTCAATCCAAGTCAACTTGATCACTTGCATAAGCTGGCAAAACCAACCCATCCTCCTCTTGCTTTTTCAGAGACAGAGATTGCCATTCACCACACGCCTGCTAACCCTACAAACAACAATACCTCCAACCCTCAAATACCTCAGATCAATTATAACCCAATGGGCCCCATTACTCGGAAAAGGTCAACGTCCTCCACTTAGCTCAATAAAAAATAAAAAAAGTTATGTACCACCGATCATGCGAATTAATTGATAAAATATTGATTTAATTTAACCATTAATCTGAGTTTTAATTCCTGAAAATGTAAGTGTGTTAAGACTTAGTAAAAAAGAACTTTATAATTCATATGGTTCAACTCATCTAAAATTGGATTACCCAAGTAATTAATGAAATTGATGAATTCATAAATAGTAATAAAAAAAATAAATACTTTTTTTGATCTTGAGCAAATTTTACGATGTCCCTTTAGTTCTTAGTAAATAAAAAGGTTATTCATGGTCCTTAAGAAATTTAAAGTGGACCTATTTTAATCCTTTTGAGAATTAATGTGGATCTTTTTTAAATTTGTGAGAGATTACGATTTCAATTAAATGAATCCATTTTGAATTTTTTAAGGACCACAAATAATTTTTTTATTTGCTAAAAAGTAAAATGAATATGGTAAGATTTGCCGAGAAACAAAAATTAACATAAAAATGTTTTCTCCGTTCACAGTGTGTGAGCAATGACCATAATACATTAATACCTTACTAGATCTTATTCGCAATCGCATCTACATTTGACGATAACAGGCTAGCGTTATAGTTCAGTCACCTAGTGGACCCAACAACCCGAATCCTATGGCACCATTTGACCACTGTAACCTATTGCTCTCTGCCTCTCTCTCTCTCTCTATATCCCTCCTTTTTTGTCAACACTCTCTCTCTCTCTATCTCCTTCATTTCTTTGTATCTCTTTTTTCCTTCTTCTTCATCTTTGATGGTGTTGCTGCAACTATGGCTGTAGAGCTCATGATGGGTTACAGTAACGAAAATTTCACAACCAAAGCTGAAGAGAATGCTGTCCAAGAAGCTGCATCTGGTTTAGAGAGCGTGGAGAAGCTAATCAGGTTGCTTTCTCAGACTCGTCAACAGTACCATTCTTCTTCTTCATCTTCAGACCCTTCGATGGAAATAGAAATGGATTGCAGAGCTGTAGCTGACGTCGCCGTTTCGAAGTTCAAGAAGGTGATTTCGCTTCTGGGTAGAACCAGAACCGGCCACGCTCGCTTCAGAAGAGCCCCTTTGGCTCCTTCTGCACAAACCCTAGAAACAACACAACCTTCTGAACAACACAGAGTCTACCATGCAACCCCTTTGCAGCAGATCCCATCCACACCAACACCCACCCTTCTTCACCACAACACCGAACCCCCAAAAATTGATAGGAAGGACTCGTCCAAGACCATTAACTTCTCCTATTCTTCTTCTCCTGCTGCCAATTCCTTCATCTCGTCTCTCACCGGCGACACCGATACGAAACAACCGTCGTCGTCGGCGACGGCCGCCACGACGACGACGACGGCTTTTCAGATCACGAATCTGTCTCAGGTTTCATCAGCGGGGAAGCCTCCTCTTTCGTCTTCTTCGTTTAAGAGAAAGTGCAGCTCTGAGAATTTGGGTTCTGGCAAGTGTGGTAGTTCCTCTAGCCGCTGTCATTGTTCGAAAAAGAGGTAGGTGAAATGTGGGTTTTTCTTCAGAATCGTTCTTTTCTCCTAAGAATAAAAAAAATGCAATTTTTTTTTTTTTTTTTTATTGTTCACATGCTTTTTTTTTTTTTTTTTTAATTGGGGTGTGACAGCAGGAAAATGAGGTTGAAGAGGGTGATGAGAGTACCTGCGATAAGTTTGAAGATGTCTGATATTCCACCAGATGATTATTCTTGGAGAAAGTATGGACAGAAACCTATTAAAGGATCCCCACATCCAAGGTACATACATCAATTTATATTTGTATTTATATTTATATTATAGGTTATTACCATTAACCAGTATGTCTCAAATTGCTTAACTTAAAATTGGGGCTCGTTGACTCATAAATTTCGAATTTTAAAGTGGACCCAATAGTTGTGACTGATTAGTTTCCTTTTATTCTGCGTGTTATGTTTTATTAGTCCATGCTTGAATCTTTGGAGTGAGTGGTACTGAGTTGTTTTTATTGAACAATAACAGGGGTTACTACAAGTGCAGCAGTGTTAGAGGGTGTCCAGCGCGCAAACATGTAGAGCGAGCTCTTGATGATCCATCTATGCTGGTTGTTACCTATGAAGGAGAGCATAATCACTCCCTCTCCGCGGCTGATGCTACTAATCTCATTCTAGAATCATCTTAAGTCTTAAAACCAATTATCCTTTTCCGGCCAGAACCGCAAGCCATTGATCAAGGTTATGATATTTCAAAGGGGCAATTGATGGCTTGTAGAATTGCAGCTTTACTCATGATACAGCTTTAGTCCCATTTCCCTGTACAATATTGGATTCCTTTATCTTTTTCGTTCTCTTCAAGGCTGAAAATACTGTGAATCCGTTACCATTTTAATTTTAAAAAAAGGGAGTCAAGATGGTGGATTTGGTAATGGTTTTGAATCTCAAAGTACAGAAAAAAAAAAAGAAAAAAAAAGAGAAGCAAATGGTTTACTCTTCTTTTGTTTTCCTCTATTTGGTTGCTTTATCTTTGGTGCTTCCTTATCTTGGATTCTCATCACCTCTCAACTTTTAATGGGTGTTTTGTTTCAATGCTCAACGGGTCTGTCTTTGAAATTTTCAAAAGTAAAGTGAAAGTAAAAAAATAAAGAAAGCAATGAAAGGGACCTAGTCAAAGAATTGGACAGAAGAGGACAGACATGTCGTGTATAGTACGGTTGACTAAAAGAGAGAGAGAGAGAGAGGGAGGGAGAGGGAAAGGGGTTGGAAGTTGCTAATTGGGGACGGCTAAATTAGTGAATGGAATCAATGAATGAAGGTGGTTGATGGGTTAGGGAAAGGAAAGGGCATGAAAAGAGAGTTTTTAATGCAAATTTTGTTGGACCCTTTGGCTTATAGGAAAAGGGTCGCTGGGAAGGGGGGTGCATTGAATAGAGGGGTTGGAAGGTCTAAAATGGCTCTTGTGAGAAAACCGATGGCAAAGTCAAAATGGGTGGGTGTGGAATTGATAAGTTCAAGCACTCAGCAGGGTCCTATCTTGTTCGCAAATTTGTTCTTTTGTTTGCTTTGCCTTTGCCTTAACGTCAACTTTATTATGCAGATTGGGTCCCCCTTTGCCCTTCATCATTATCGATTTCATTATTAACACGCATGTGGCTCCCTCAATCATGCATATAAAATACCATTCTTCTTTCTTGTTTTTCTTCCCGTTGCTTCTCGTAATCCAAGTTTTGACATTTGCTTGTATGTGATTGTAAATTCTGTTTCAGATGAACAGTTACAATAATTGATATTTTTATATCATAGGATCCAAATCCTAAGTATGACTAAGTTTACACACACTTATATTTATTACCTGAACAAATTAGAAGTAACGGGTGTTGTTGGACAGTAAAAATTAGACAGATTAATTTACCTTTCTTCTACGGAATGAAAAGGAAGCATAGCAGTGCATATGATTTCAAGTTCAATATATCTCTCGTTTGGGAGTGTGGAGAAAAGAAATAAGTGGACTATTGCTTCTTATTATTTTTTGTAAATTTGATCTCATACTGATTTTGAAAGATAATATTTCGATTTCATACATAATTATATATGTTACGTATCATCTTATTTCATGTGATTTCTCCGATGAATAAATTTATTTTTTTTATAACTGATTTCACATGTTGTATGATGAAATTCACTGAAAATAACACACCTTCTGTGGTCAGGTACACAATTTTGATCACATAAATTATGAGCCAGATATACAAAGTAAAGACTGTGAAGTGAATATAGCTGAATTATAGTGGGAAATAACTGCTAATAAGGAATTTACCGTTGTAAACCGCTTGTCTATGTCTAACTCCAAGGGACGAAAAATCTTTGTATATAACTTTTTTTAAAAAAAAGTATTGTAGCTTATTGATTGTGTAAACTTGGAATGACCAGCACTCACAGTCACTTTGGTGTCATCTTCAAATTGAGAATGAGAAAAAAATAGAAGTTTTTTTATTTATTTATTTTTCTGGAAACATTAGAAATGAGATTTCATACAAATTTTCACATAACTTTCATTTTATTTTATTTTTTCATTTTAAAATAGTAACTAGTAGGTAAATGATCTATTATTAGATAATAGAAAGCGAGTAATTACTTAAATGATTATGATTTCTTTTTAGTCAATAAAAATTATATCATTCGTTTTCTTAATTCTTAAGTTAGTCGTCCATTTCAACTGAACTGTTTTATCAATATCAAAATTCACTTGTATACGCGAACAAAATAAAAGAAATAAAAGTTTACTCCTCAAAGAAGATTATATTTACAACCTTTTTTTTACAACCTCTTACAACTATATCTTAACACTGTTGATTTTTGTCAATCAACGGTTATCATTTATTGTTAATTAATAATTAATTAATGAGTTTAATTTGCGAAAATCATAACCGTTGATCGGCGAAAATCAACGGTGTTAAGATAGAGTTGTAAGAAGTTGTAAAAAAAAAAGTTGTAAGTATAATCTTCCTCCCTCCAATCTCAAATATTGTAATCTAAACTCTAAAAAATAAGTAACACACAATGAAGTTGGTTTCAGAGTGGCTTGTTGTTTTGGAGTACTTCTTACCAGTGTTATTAAATCCGACCTGGACATCGACCCGGTCGGGGTACTGGGTTACTGGGTCACTGGTCGGACCGGTGGGTCACTGGTCAGACTGGTTGACCGGGATATATATATATATATATAAAAATATGAACATATAAATTCAATTATATTCTCCATATCTAAAATGAATTAAACAATGTTCATTAAATAAACTCAAAAACAAGAAGCATAAACAAATAAAAATGAATGCTATTACTATGTCAATTTAAATTGCAATTCAGAATTCCCATAAACATACCTCTCAATGACATTGAACTCATATTTTTCAAATTCAACTACATTAAAATGAAATATATCACATTCTCTTAATTTATTATTCCGCAAATTGCTTCAGTATTAGAAACTAAAATTTGAGGTCATTGTAGAAGAGTATACTAGCAAATAAAATTACAAAAAGTTTTAAAATGAGTTCTACATTTTGTTGACAAGATTAAACAATTTTGGTTTTTTTTTTAAATGCATGACCCGACCGGGTCACTGGGTCACCGAGTTTGGCCGATTTTATTCGGATTTTGACCGAATCGATGCGTGACCGGTCCAATGCTTAACCCGAACTGGTTTGATGACCGATTCGCTGAGTTCCGGGTCAACCCGGCCGGGTCGGGCCGGGTTTTACAACTATGCTTCTTACTATCAACATGTAGTCGTTTGCAAAAAATAACGCATAATGAAAATCGTTGAACTTAGTAACCCAAGGAAAGAAATTAAATGTTATAAGAAAAATTATTCCATCATCGATGTTTCAACCAACCATTGTTCTCATGGTTATGTATACTGAGAGCCAAATCGATGAGAACCAAAACTCTTTGGTATAAAAAAGTAAAGAAGAATTTCGAAAATTTCATTATGCAAGATTGGATTATGTAAGAAATTTCCCGAATACAAACAACACAATATATGGCAGCATATATTACGTTAGCAAAACGGGCTAACTCGACTCAACCCGCATTCTACCCGAAAAAAATGAGCTGGGTTAGGATTGGTTTGAAAAATAAACGAGCCAGAAAACTCAACCCAACCTGACCCGAGTCGGGTTAGGGTTGACTCGAAAAAATGAAATTAAATTTCATTGATGCTATAACTTCTAAATTTTCCTCTTAAATTATTAATTCATTCAATACAAAGACATTATACAGATAAACTATAGAAAATTTTACATTTGAACTTGGACTTATTGGCAGTTTGCATCATATTTACACTGTCACACGTACTATAAAAAAGGTCTTTAATGCACGGTTTTGATCTTATTGGCAGGAGGGTATTTTTGTTTGGGTCCTTAGAATTGAGATTTTAGGTTTTAACTTTTCACTTTACCTTTGTTAATTTTTATACTTTTATATTAAAAAAAACCATAACCCGCAAGCCAATCCGTTTGACTCATGGGTTGGCTCGATTTTTTTCGAACTGACTCGAATTACTAATTCATTTTCCTTAATCCAATCCGACTTATTTTAACCGGATTACGAGCCAATGCGATAGGTTGGCTCTAACATCCATGACGGATAAAATATCATATAGAATTTAACGAATGAAAAACTTTTGGTAAGCAAAGATCTTCCTCAGTAAATCTATTTAAAAAAATGGCACGATGAAAATATAATGACTCGTCAGGCTTAATCCTAATATATATAGTTAAAGATAAGATCTAACATAATTTTAACTAATAATGAATTTATTGGGTCCATCTATCACAGAGTCTAATTAGACATCAATACTGACATTGTGTTGCCAAACTAAGCGTAATATCAATAAATGTCAACAGTTCAACTGAGTATGAGTAAAATAAACTTATTATATTAATTAAATTAAAATATTTATCAATCTGTTAATTTTAAAACATAAAACTAATTAATTAATATTATCCTCATAAAAAATTCTTATTTCTGTTAATAGATATTGTTTATTGCGATTGCTTACTGCTTTAAAAAGGGTATTATTTAGTTTCCGAAATTTAGAACAATGTCCTACGAAAGTACTGGAAGTTTCAGCTGAGCTTTAATTACTTTTATGACTTATTACGCATTCATAACTAGTGGTCAACCAGGGGGTGGGGTACGATATCTTAATCCTCACTCGCCGCTCTGTATACACCTGTATTATATATTTTGGATTAGTTTCGTAACTGATTAAAAAAATTAAAACTTATAAAAATATCCCAAAAAACAGATTCACTTCAAATAAATAATTAAAATTGATATAAAAAAGATTAGTGATCAACCTTCTACATTGATTTTGGAGAATGCATTGGTGCTGTAATAGAAATAAAACATCTTTTCCTGCAGAGACAACATTTAAGAGAGAGAAAATGATATAAAGAGATAGAAAAAACAATCGGTAAGCCCTACAAAAAGTTGTCTCTACAGAAAATTTATTTATTTTCCTATAACAGTAGCGACAGATTACCCATTAATTTTAGATATTAATTGAAAATATTTTAAAGTTTTTAGTAATAATTTACAAAAGATGGGAAAGAGCCAGAGATAATAATCTTTGTTTGGTAAAAGGATGATTGAAAAAATTAAGATGAATTTTCTAATTGATCATGTTTGGTACCAGATTTTCAAAAATTTGCCCATCAGTCAGATTTTACATAGCAATCTCAGTTAATGTTTAAAATTAAAAAAAAAATTGCCATTTCAAAATTGAATGGTATTTTTATTATTCCATCAAACTAAAAAGTAAAAAAAAAGTAATGAATACAAATATCCTTTCTAAAACAAAATATGTCAAAAGAAAACTGGAGAGAGAGCTTTTTTGTATTTAGTTAAGAGTTAGTTTGGTAATTTCATTTTATTTTTTCATCAATATTTTACTTTCAACCAAACATAAACTCAGAAAATTTAAACCAATTTTGTCAATAATATTTTGACCTATCAAAATAATTTTTTTTTAATTTTTTTACCAAACTTATTTTTCTACGTATTCGTGTGGTAAAGAAAATTTTCTACTCTATCAAATGGTCGCTAAAAGCAAAACGCTATCTCGTTTCACAGCAGGAAATATCCCCAAAACTCCACCCCAGCTTCGTGGACAAGTCTACGACAAGAGCATCAAAGTAATTCGATGGCGGCGATGGGTTGTTTCACTAAACCCGTCGTTCGCTCATGAAGCCCAAACCCTTCTCCTTCTACCTCTCTCTGAGCCACAATCTTTCTAATCTCAACAGATATTTTTGCGCAAAACCTCATCCCCTCATGGCTCAAACCCCAACTTGTCTCGATTCAAACGACCAGCAACAACAAGACTTGTCGCAGCCTTGCTTGGATTCTCCGGCGCGGAGCTTTACCGGCGAATCTCGGGTGGAACGGGCCTGGGCTCATTGGGCCAAGTTGGGTCGACCCAGATTGATAGTTGCCCCAATGGTTGACAATTCGGAGCTACCGTTTCGAATGCTGTGCCGCAAGTACGGTGCGGAAGCGGCATACACCCCCATGCTGCATTCACGCATTTTCACCGAGACCGAAAAGTACAGGGAAGAAGAATTCACCACTTGCAAGGTATGCTTTGTGCGTGTTCTACAACTATCAACTACAAGTCTACAACTACAACTGCATTGTTGTTATTATTATCATTATATTTTGTTGTGACATTGGGAGTAACCTCAGGAGGATCGACCACTCTTTGTCCAATTTTGTGCCAATAATCCAGATGTGTTGTTGGAAGCTGCACGCAAGGTGGAGCCTTATTGCGATTACGTTGATATTAATCTTGGGTAACGCATAATTTTAGCTTACTCCTTGGCTCACAATCTGCTTCATATCAATACCTTTTGTGCTTGCTATTTTGTGCCATAGTGTATAATATCTATAGGAGGAAATTGGAATGGAAATGGATCCTCTCGTGTGATATGATATCGTGTGATACAAATTTACGAATTAATGGTAATGTATTAACATAAAGTTTGACGAAAGGATAACCATTGAGCTGATTGGTATCTAGATGGATGAGATGTCACATGAGAGGATACATTCCCATGTATAGTTCTAGGAGAAACTCTGGTGTTCATGCAATAAGAAAAAGTTCTTGTTTAGTATCACTTAAATGTGCATTAACTCAGTTGTAACATTAAAACTGTTGTTAAAGTGGTAGACAGGGATGATCTACATTACTGAGGTAATACACATTGAATAGCGCAAGTAAGAACATTTTCTTGTTCCAAGAGTATTTAGGAATTTCTCGTTACTGTAATTGATGTAGCCCCATTGGCCGTGGCGGATCCAGGAAATTAACGAAGGGTGGGCACTTAATAAGCTCAGTATATATAAATTTGGGTCTGGTTTGGAACGCAACTTGTGAGCAGCTACCGGCTAATTGTGTCTGGTTTAGATCTAGATCTGGACGGATTGCGACTCAACTGGACAGATGATGGAGTAAGAATCAAATGTTCCAACTTCCAATAATGGAGATTGAGGTTTGAGAGGAGATGAATTAATATGTAGATGCAAACGAAGGTGAAGGAGAAAAAAAAAAAAAACTCACGAAAAAATAAAATAGAAGGAGAAAAATTAAATTGGAAAACTTAAATTTTAAGAAAATGGCATTTTCCTATTTTTGGATCAGATTTAAGGGTGGGCACTTGCCCCCCTTCTCAACAACCTGGATCCGCCTCTGCCCGTTGGATGTTACTTTTTTATATATATATATATAATTGTGGTGAAAATTTTGGGGTATTAATTTTATGTGATTCTTTAGGTGTCCTCAGCGTATTGCTAGACGAGGAAACTATGGTGCTTTCTTGATGGATAACCTTCCTGTTGTGAAATCTCTAGTGGAAAAATTGGCTCTTAACCTCCAAGTTCCTGTTTCTTGCAAGATTAGGCTCTTTCCGAATTTAGAGGACACTTTGAAGTATGCTAGGATGCTTGAGGAGGCTGGTTGTATGCTTTTAGCTGTCCATGGCAGAACAAGGGATGAGAAGGATGGGAAGAAATTTCGAGCCGACTGGAAAGCCATCAGGGCTGTGAAGGATGCAGTCAGAATCCCTGTCCTCGCAAATGGGAACATAAGGCATATTGATGATGTTAAAGACTGCTTGGAAGAGACCGGTGTCGAAGGGGTGCTTTCTGCGGAGACTCTGCTTGAAAATCCAGCTCTCTTTGCAGGATTTCGAACTGCTGAATGGGTATCTGGAAGTGAAGGAACCAATGTGGATGGAAAACTGGACCAGGCAGATCTGTTAGTAGAGTATTTGAAGCTTTGTGAACAGTACCCTGTGCCATGGAGAATGATCCGTTCTCATGTTCATAAATTGTTGGGAGACTGGTTCAGCCTTCAGCCTCACATCAGGGAGGAACTTAACAAACAATCTAAACTGACTTTTGAGTTTCTTTATGACATGGTGGATAGGCTTCGGGGTACAGGTACAAGAATTCCACTTTATCTCAAAGATACCCAGATGGAACTGAATGAAATATCTTCTGCCGTAGAGGTAGTGAGGCCAGGCTAAGCCAGCACAACTACAACATCATTTAGATACAATTTTGTAGTGATTAGAAGTGAGAATAGTTCAAATTACTAATCTCTTTCGTGTTGTATTTGACTTCATTCTTATGGCAATTGCCCAATTGGCAGTGTTGTACACGTAACAGTGTTAAAACGCTGATGCTTATTCTGAGCTATCAAATTTTTGTGATTGTCTTTACCATTTCATAAGCTGAATTGGTTTGTGTTTAACTGCTTCAACGATCTGATAAAACAACTGCCAGTTGGATGGTTGTTTTTTCGTTTTCTTTTGTTTGTTGTTTATTTGCTATTGTCTAATGTTTAGGGGTGGTAAACAAACTAGGGTCTTTTAGTTTCAGGGCCTTTTGACCTGGCCGGTGAAGGTCTGAGCTTATATATCTAAAATTAATTGTTGAAACGAAGTTTGAATTTGTATAAAAACTCGTTTAATAAAAAATTTCAGCTCAAATTCATAAGTCTAGCCATAGAGCTTCTCAGGCTACTATAGTATACTAATTTTTACTTTTATTTTATATTTTTTTATACTATTCATAATATTCCTCTTTCTCTTCTCAATCCATTTTATTGGTTAAATAGACTTTTTGAATTATTTTGCTTTATATTATGCTATTTGGATATACATTGAATTTATGAATCTTCGTGAAATTATTAGTGTTGTTGATTGTATATTTTGTTTGGATAAATTTTTGTTCTCTTATTTTTTTTTAACAGGTTAAATCAGACTTTTATTTTTTGTAAATAAGTCGGGCCACAAGCCGAATAACAGGCTATGTCAAACTGACATGTTTAAATACATCATACTTTTATTTTTTTGTAAATAAGTCAGGCCACAAGCCGAGTAACAGGCTATGTTAGACTGATATGTTTAAATATAAGCTTAGCCTTTTAAGAATAAATCTTGACCTGACTTAGCCCGTTAACACCTCTGCTAATGTTGTATGATATTATATGAGAACAGGGAGCGTGTGAAATCCCGAGTACTAGTCTTGAAACTGAAAGCGTTCTCAAGTTAATAAGTTTTGAGAATGAAGACGTTGATGGGTAACAAACGCTTGACTTATAATTACACTATTTTCAGTACATGCAAGCGAGGAGCTTGCTTACAAGAAACTTGACTTATTACACACCAGAGCGAAGGAAACAAAGTTACTGGTCAACAAAATTTGTGAGGACCTTGCTAACTAGATGCTCTCCGTAGACAGCCCTTTGAAACTTCTTGTTGCCATTTGCCCTCGTTTTAGGTGTATCCAAGGGCTCTACTGCAGTATCAAAGTTCGTCTGTTCATGCAGTAGTGGCATATGGGATAAGCAACGAAACAAACAAGAGAGAAAAACGATGACACATGTAAAATAGAAAAAGGAGCTAACCTCGTAAAAATATACTACGCTGACTCTATATTTGGGGGAGTTGTTTACCACCCGATGCAAAGTTGACTCGTACAAACCATTAGAGTATATCTGCAGTTCTCTTCCAAACTTAATCAGATGATCCACCAAATCTTAGGTAAAACTTCTACATGAAGAGAAGAGATTTAAGTGTAAGATACCTTTAGCATGTCACCAATGTTGCACACAAATGTCCCAGGAACTGCAGGTGCTGATATCCAATCGCCAGACAGGTTTCTCACCTTCAACATTTTCACAGCAGAAACATAACAGCGGATCAAAAACAATATTTAACTTTTATGTCACCTTTATCACAAACTAGTGTGGAATCTGTGGATTGAGAATAAAATATAAAGTAGAAATAAAAAATAGGAATAAAAATATAGAAAACACAAACTTAAGTGATTGAATAAAATGGTTAAGCGAGTAGGTAAAGGTTGAAAGAATCAGCCACTTCAGAATGACTTTATTTATTCTAGAAATATACAGTCATGTGGAGAAAATTGGGATACAGAACACATCATCTCCGAAGCTACTTGCCCCAGATATTTAAATTGTATGGAAGTTCGATGATTGTAGTGAGAATAGAAGAAAAATCAAGAACTGCATGCATCAAATGAAGATTATGAGTATCTATTATACACAAAGGGCCATATACAAGTGCATACCTGGAGTGCGTTTATATCGTCATCCTGGTTAACTAATGTCAATAAACCTGTTAAGCAGCATCTAACATCATTGAAAATGACTTGAACATATATTCTAGACTTATCATAATAAAGTTAAGCTTAAGATATACCATAATCAGTGTGAGCTCCACTGGTTTTGTTTGGATTCAAAGAAATGGAAAAGAAAAAGTAACAAAGAAAACGACATCAATAATTTAAAGCCTAGTAATAGGAAGAGAAAAAAAGGTAAACATTTGAGAACTCCGGGTCCAATATTTCATTACCATCCAATGTCGTTTTTCATAACATTGGTTCCATTTACTGTGGACACACCAGGGTAACCAACGAGTCGCATTACCCAAAATGGATCCCCAGCTCTCTGACCTTCAAATTCATCAGGTGATCCACCTAATGCTAAAGCAATTCCACGCATAATTTTCCTTGCAAGGTCTGCTCCAACCAAAAGAACTATATAAGAAAACAAAAATTTAACCGCAGGAACTCACTTGATGTTAAAGGTAACTAGGGGAGGACAAAGCATGCCTGTGCAGACACTAATATACTCCTCCATAAGAACTTTGAATGTTGGAGGATTTTGTGGCCTGCATATGCGCCGCAAAATGAAAGAGGATCAAAAGACATGCATTAGTTCCTATAAACGTAAGCATTATCTTAGTACAATAAGACTTTTCTACTGAGTGTAAATATGCTAGAGACCAACCAGAAAATAAATCTAACACAATGGATTATGGAAAAGGAACACAGATCTGTATATAGATGTATCTATATCTGTATTACAATATGAAAATGGTAACAACTCAGATACAATTTAACAAGAAAAGGGAAATACAATGAACAGGAAATGCTATAACAGAAAGGAAAATAGTGTAAGATAATTCTAGAGCAATTATAGAGGCTCTAGACTCTCCCAATCACCCAAGAGGTGCCCAAAGTTCCAAGTCCCAAAGATGCTCTTTCCCTCCTCCGCCTTCCTCTATTTATCCCTCTTTTATCATAACCTTCTCTCAACTTCCTTCAGCCACGTCAGCAACCTCTTTCTCACTTCTAACAGAATTGTCATCTAGGATATTCTTTTCAATAGGTGAGTCAGCAATGCCAATTGATTCCCTAATCTGCTTCCTAGAGTAAACCTTGATAGGGGTTGTATCAAAATACTTCCAAGTCCCAAGTGCAATCAGTCAAATGCTAGGATATTAGAGTCACAGGCCCGAGAGAGTGTCAATCATGGAAAAGTATTCCCTAGATCATCAATCTAATTTAGTGAATATTCTTAGTTAATCAGGAATTCAGGAGCAGGAGCATATATATAATTGTTCTCTCGAGTATAATATTGACCTAAAAAATGTGGGAGTAGGGGGTGGAGGAATACATTCATTAATAAATAGAAAATTCCTAATTCCTCATACCAGTGGTTGCATCCTTCCATAGCTTTGCCAAGAGCTCCATACATGCCCTTAGTCACTTCCCTATAGCACTGTTAAAGGAAAATAAAGAGATCATTTATTGCTTGATAGAACCATAAGAAACACAATAAATTATTGGAACTGCTATGCTAGGCTCCATGAGGTAGTCTAATCTCGAACAATGTTGGATATTTGGTATGATCGAATAAGCTATATGAGGTAAGGGTGAAATATGTAAGAAAGTGGTGGCCAGTATTACATTCGATTTTAAAATTCACTGAGATGAGCCCAATGTCAATAATAACAGTCAAGTATTTGTTTCTGGTATGTGTTCTGTCCCATATCTTTTAGAAAAGAACCACACACTAGAAACAAAGACACCTAATTTTTTTCTTAAGCAACAAGCATGACTTACATCAATAGCTTCATGCATATCTGGTACACCTTCGGTTATATTTTCTCCAAGCCTCTCATATCCTCTGCATCAGAAGTTAGGCTGGTATCAGCATAAATTATTTGGATAAACTTGATGTGGCAAGTACTGAGGTGATGCTTATATACAAAGTACAGATGCAGGGATCAATGCAATAAAGCAAACCTGAACCCGGTAGCTGGAGTCATTTTGATCTTTGTCTTTTCTTCATATGGAAGTTCAAAGAATCTGCGAGTTACACCTTTAACCTCATTGAGGAGAGTATCAGGAACACCGTGGCCTTTCTGTCAATCAAGGGTCGTAGTAATTGAAGTAAACATTAAACACAAAATGGCCTAAGTGCAATGATATAAGATGACAAGGGAGAAAACTGCAAAGCAAAATCTTGCTTTGTATCGTCAAGAAAATGTAACATTAGGGTCAGTTTGCTAGGGGGTAAAAAATGGAAATGAAAAATTCATTGATCAATTTTCTGGAGTTTTACTGGTAAACTGATTCATGAAATTCTCACCCCTTTAATAAACTGACCCTTAGGAAACGAGGGAGTAGTTAACCAATTTCTTGAGTTGAATCGAAGAACTCTATTCAATCAAAACCGTGTCGATGGCAATAGTTTCGCTGAAGTTGCAATAAATGTAACTTAGTATGTGAAATCAGGCATATTCATTTACTATGAGTCATTTCTTCCTCCTTCATGTTCCATTTTTTTTTCTATTGTTTTTATGCTTTTTTTCTTTTTCTTTTTGATGATTTCAATTTTTAAGTACTATTGGGCATTTCCCAAGCGACAGAACAACTATTCTAGGGACAATTGGAATACATATGAAATCAGAACATCATATATGTTAGTAGAAGTTGTAGTGGACCCACTGTAATACAACCGATTCTGTCCCATAAAGATTAAGTTGTTCTTTATAGTGCAATTTCTTCTCAATTTGTCTCATATTTCTAAAATCAATAACCTTTTTTTCCCACCTTTATTTGCAGTAAAAGACTAAACTATAAACCCTAATGCAATCAGAGTAAAAGGAAAAATGTTAAAAGATGCAACAAGTACCACGTAGAAGAACCCTGCCTCTGTACAAGCCTTATCCAATTGTCTAACAACCTCAACTACACCAGGATCCTCAGCCATTTTTGGGTCATCTGACTTGGCTAAAAGGGGACTAATATCTGTACCATTATATTTTCCAAAATCAAAAATATGTCAGATTCAGAAATTAGCACACAAAACATTCCTCTTCCGAAGTCTTAACTGCTGAGAAACTCAAGAATTTTCTATTATACACATTGAAAGCTTATCAATCGTAAAAACCATCCCAAGCAAGACCAATTGTAACATGTTTTAATAATTTCCAATAATCCAAGGTATATGTTTTCATATACACATACACACAAAGTAATGATGATGGGAAACCATAGATATGTTTGACGGAAATTTACCAATTATGGGGATGAAACTAAAGTTCGTGGCCATCGGTGGTTGAGATTATCTCTGAACTCTACGTAGCAGGTGGCGTTGCGTGCTACTGTGGTGGTTTATAACAAGAAAATGAAGTGGCTTATCACATATTGTTATACGTATGACACCAACTTAGGAGAGAGCGCGTGATTCACTGTTGTCTATGATGACAATAATGTTGTCGTCTTTGAGAAAAGCCTCCTTGTATGGGACCCCACTCCACAATATATAATAGAACATTTCTGTTGCTTGTGTACATCATAATAAAACATTGAAACTTCAATTATAAGATGCAACAAAAATGGTTTATATTTTAACGCATTTTCTAATATGTATGAGTTTTGATTATGTGTTATGATGTCACCAACTTTGTCAAGAATCTCAAGGAAAAGAGTTTTTAGGAAGGGATTTATTTTTTATTTTTTAGTTTGGGAATCTTGGAGTGATATAGGGTTAAAATAAGTGATCTGTTTTCTTATTGGAATGATTTTAAATATCAGTCTACAATTACAATTATAGCCAGAATTATGGCTGTATAATGTGTATTATCTTGCAATTGTCCATTGTTAATGTTACACTTGAACCTGTATAAGATGTGCTGCTAAGTGTTTAAAGAGACTCTCACCATGCATATATCATACATATCTCCTTCAAAAATGTATGATCCGCCATAACATGAAAGCAAACATTTTTTTTTTTTTTTTGGATATTTCCCATCAGTTACCCCACACTCGTTAGTTGGGTTTAACGGGAAGTGGTGTGAGTGATTTTTATTATGCATCTGTTCATCGATTATTCGACTAGTCCGATTCGAGTCGGGTAGGACCACATGGACGGCAGAGATCTCTCTGTCAAATTTTAATGTAGTTGCATTTCCAAGAATTCAAATTTAAAATCACTGATTAAACAGAAACAATCTACATGCTTGATAGTACATTGAAAGCATTAAACCATGATAAATCTTGCAACATGCTTCTTCTCCCTTCTGACCAAGATCATCTTTGAGACGCATTCTCTTTTACTTGCATTAAGGCCGAAACAATAAAAAAGGCTTGCTCTAGCTACCCAATTGGCCATTGGCCAAGAGGCCCAAGACAAATATGAAGTTGACTTCTAAGCAACCCAAGAGCTTGCTGTTCAAGTTCATTTAATTATGAGGCAAGTTCACATGGAACAAATCCGTAGTTGTTGAAGCAACTTCCATCCAAATCCAAGCGACCTTAAGCACCTCTCTCTCTCTCTCTCTCTTTGAAGGAGACAACCAAACAACCTTAACAGTTAGTTGTATTAGTTGTGGCAGTCACACAACTAATTAATGCACCTAAATGACCTAATGCTATTTTTTAAAAGTTGATATTAGGGAAGTAAATGGTTAGGTCGGTCTATAGGGGCTTACGCCTTAGTTTATATTAGGTCAGACTCAGCCTATTAAATATAATCAAATAGAGCAGGTTTAGACTTTTAAAAATGCTTATTTAGAAAACAGGTCATAGTTTTTTTTTTATATATCGGATCTACAAGCCTAGAGGTTAGCCTATATCATATTATTTATTTTAAATAAAATGAATAAAATTATTATTTTAATAATTTCAAATAATAAAGTAAATTATTTTAATTTTTTTTTTAATTATTGAATATGTAATAGATTTAAACAGGCTAACAAGACTAGGCAATACTTTTATTTTTTAAATATAGATCAAATCAGACTTATAATTTGTGTCTATATAAAGCTAACAGGCTAGGCATAAAATATTTTATATAGGTATAGACTATTTAAATTAAAAGTCTAGCTGATTTACACCGATAGTTAAGACCAAATAATTCTGACTAACCTCTAAATATCTTATTGTCTACTAAGGAACTTCAAACCCAAATTAGCTTTCTATATTTCATTGCATTACAACGCTAACTGTGAAAACATCAGCTGAAGGATGAGTAGTAGCCTTTCTAAGAGTATTGCAGCAAGTCAATGAAAGTTTTAACCATAAAATGTGGAGTAAAAATGGAATCTGTACTATCAGATGCAATTAAACAAACCATTTTCGTTTTCTTTGTCAATTGCATAATCCACTTTTTTTTTTTTTTTTCGCATTATCCTCAATTGACATTTGGAAGCTTGAATTCATTGAAGAAATTACAATTTTGAGTGCTTTAAAATGAAAAGGTAAAGTAAAAAAGAATTATTTTTTACAAACCCCAGCCAAGAAGTAAACAAAATGTAGCAGCAATGTAAAAAGGATCATAAATACCCAGAAAAGAAGGATGAAGAACCAATTGTGACTAAGATGATTCTTAGCTGCTTTTGTGGATGGGAGAGATAGTAACTAAGTTGATGAAGAAACCCCAGACCACCCAGAAGATGTTTGATTCTTACAATACTTGACACTACTTTCATCCATCCTTTCCAAAACATAATGCCCCAAAGTCTCACTAGCCTCCAACAAATTCTCTTTGCACAAGAACTCATCCCCACAAACCTTTTGCACTTCTCCAAAGAAATCATGCAAAAACACATGAGTCTTTGGATTACCACCCTTCTTGCTTCTGGCCAGCACGCCGGCGGTGAAGATCGCCGACATTCTTCCGGGGGCTTCCGGCCAATCCCCACGTGGCCCATCCACCAATATAACATCCCAGTCAACCTCGTACACATGGTTGGGAAGGTCATTGAGTCCAAGTTTGCAATCTGAAAATAGAAGATTCTGCACTGGCTTGCACTCATTTGCTACCTGTTCTTTTGCTGAAGCTATGAGCTCTTTCATCTCACTACGTTTGGTGGTGTATTGAACGTCATAGACATCGACTTCAGGGTGCTTTTCTTCTATGTATGCAGCGTAGTAGCGGTTTTCATCAATGAAAACTGTTCTGCCATTGTGGTTCAGAGCTTTCCAGAGAAGGGTCTCGTGTGTGAGGCCAAAGACGAGGAAATTGCAAGGTGAAGAGCATTTTCGGAGCACATCAGAGATGGGTTTGAGGTCTGAGTGTGGCATGTGGAACGTGTCATTGGATTTTGATGCATAGTGGAGGAGAGTGTTGATTACTGTGGCTGGCAATGGTGAACTTCCGAACCCTGAAACTGGGGTGGTTGAGGCTATGACAGTTGAAGTTGCTGAGGGAATAATGGTGGATTCTCTTGTGTAAATGAGGGTGACAAGAAAAGCAATGGTAAGAATTGATATGAAAGCTAGAAGCCATAGGCGATTGGAGCTTCCTTGTTTCTGGATATAAGGGTGGAGGAGGATGAGTTTTGTATTGTTGTTTGTGTTCTTCATGGTGTTTTTTTTTTTCTTCAGAATCTCTCTTCTTTCTGGTTGGCTTGGAAGAGATTCTGAGCTCTGAGAGAGTATTGGGAAAGAAGGTTTGATTTTAAAGAAGTATTGGAGTAGCAAAAGAGAGAGTTGAAGCAATGTGTGTATATTGAGAGTGACCTTACATTACTTTGAGTCATGACCCTCTTTCAAGCGTCTAGACTAGAACTGAAAATAACATTATATGTGAGCGAAATAGTTTAATTTGTTATAATTGAATTTGGTTATTCTTGATGGGGTTGGTGTTTTTTGCATTAATTAATTCCTAATATAGATTATTTTGTTTATGAAGGATTGTTCATGCTGAACCTAAACAGGTTTGGGTGTGGGAAGAGCTAGCTAGAAGAGTGGTGCATTGGGGGTGGTTGGACCTGAGATGAGGGTGATGATAGAGACAATAGCCGTAGCGACCCAGTAACTAATTACAAGCCACAAGTCGCTTTTCCTTGTTGAATTATGATTTTGTTCATACGTAACCACCTCCTTAGAATATTGGTAATTTATTAGACAAATAGCTACCTCTGAAGTAGACAAAGTACCTGCAACGATTCCCCTAGTTGAAATAAATGTGATTATCGTGTTTGTAGTTAGTAGTAGATATACTAATAAAGATACACTAAGACGGTTTCAACTTGTTTTCCTTGTAATTTGGTTTTAGAAGCAGATTTTGTCTATGGACTATGATGGAGAACACTTTAACGTGTATTTCTCTCAGGGAGTATTCAGTTAAGTAACCACACATGACTTCATGGAACTAATTCTCATATTGCTGACAATGCAAGTTTGTTTTTTCTTTTTCTTTTTTTCCTTTGACCTTGAATGACAAAAAAATAAAATACATATATAATTAGCATAATTTAGAGTTCTTGAATTATATATAAATATATGGAAAGATATTAATATAACTCTTGATAGATATAAAATAAATTTAGTATTACAAAAAGACGTGAGTTTTACAAGGAAAACAGTTAGGCTGAAGCATGAAATGGATTTACATGTGTGTGGCCTTTGGGAAAATTAAGGCCCAAATTTGACAGGGGCCTGATGTGTACGATGTTTTGAAGGTCCAATACTTGAATAAGCAAAACATCAATAAGACTCTCCAAAAAAGTTTAAAACCTCAATAAGACTCCACCCACCAAAAAACAAAAAATCAACAATAACCCAAAAGAACTTCAGCCCTTTGGTTATATAGAATAAGACATGACACACACATACACAAAGTGATCACTTGCTAAGACTAGATCACTGTGAATCATTTACCAAAGTGTTTAAATTTTTTTGATTAAAAATACTTTTCTTTGTATGCTTATGACTTTTGTCAAAATGCCTTTGGCTCAAACTGATCATCATGAAAATTAACGGTGACATGATATTGGTGGAATGTGTGCCCCGTATTGGGTCAAGAAGTGTACTAAGGTGGCCTTTGAAATTGTGGGAAAGAACAGAAAAAGAGGAACACGCAGGGACCTCCATGTGATGAAAGGTTGGCACATAATTTAAGCTGTCCAATTATGGATGGCAGTAATTGGCTTTTAGAAAATATGAAAGGAAGATTCTTTCTTTTCTTTTTTCTTTTTTTATTCTTTCTAGAATAGACAATAGCACACATCTCACAGGGCATCACAACAATAGTCAATCATCCGTCAACAAACTTGATTGAAGCGACCATTTGGCCATTTGGTATTCGCATATTTCCGCCAAAGCATATGGTGTTCCCAAGCTGTGACTTGTGACTAACATTTAAGATTTTGTAACATTTTTTTACATATGTTATGCATGAAATTCACCCTAAAGTAGTCATTGCTTGCCACCATTAAAGGAGGATTTTCTGGTGGAAGAGAAACAAGTTTCGCACGGCAAAGTCATCTGAGAATGGCCATCATAGTAAATTCAATCTACTAGATACGCAATAAACCCATTAAGAGGTGTATATTTTTAGTGCTAGGTACTTCTTTATTTAAATTGAGGTAGGTTATAATTACGACCTTTATTTTTTACAACATCTTACAACAATATCTTAACACTGTTGATTTCTGCCAATCAACGGTTATGATTTTCGCAAATTATACTTACAACCTTTATTTTTTACAACATCTTACAATCATATCTTAACACCGTTGATTTCTGCTAATCAACGGTTATGATTTTCACAAATTAAACCCATTAATTAATTATTAATTCACAATAAATGATAACCGTTGATTGGTAGAAATCAACGGCGTTAAGATACCGTTGTAAGAGATTGTAAAAAAAAAGTTGTAAGTATAACTTTTCTCATTTAAATTAATAACAAAAAAATAGAACTAATGTACCATTAACCATAAAATAGGAATAGGATAAATATTGTTAAGAGACTTTTTTTTTTTTTTTTTTAATAAATGATGTATTGAGTACTTAAACTACGGAGTACTAAAATCTTCACATTGGACAAGGTATCGACATTAATGGGGACTGTCCCATGATAATCACCATAGAAATAGCAAACTTCACTGGAAAGATAGGGCTCATTTTGTATTTAGGTATGGCAACTCAGCACAGGTCGCCCAAAAACAGGAATAGTGTGTATTAGATCCGTATTTAGAAAATAAATTTAGAAATCTAATCCATTTCATTTTATGGCAGTAAATATGTCAAAAAATTTATAAAAAATATTAGGCCTAAAAGTAAACAAAGGAGGCGGGTAGCTTTCTGCAAGTTTTTTTTTTTTAAATTCAGCAGGCTAACAGTCTTGGCTAGCCAAACTCGCAGCAGATTAAGAATTATCTTTTGAGTTTTTTCTTTTATTCTTCAACAAGCTAATATTTTTTTAAAATAAAAACGCTTTTTATCTCATATGCTTGTTGGATGCAACTTAAAAAAAATAGAAAAAAGCTAAAATAATAATTTTTTATTTTTGGAAAAAATCAAAATACTATTCTTTTTACTTAAAAAAACTTTTTAAATATTGATCAAAATGTAAAATAGCTTTGGCTATTGAATATATATATATATATATATATATATATATATATATATATATATATAAAATATGAGGTAGGATACTTTGACACCTTATCTGAGAGCTATTAGATCAAAAAAATCAACGACTCTGATTTGTAAGCATGTGACACCATTGATCTTTTTTGATCTAACGGCTTTCAGATGAGGTGTCAAACTTCAAATTTGACATTGGTGTCAAAGGATCCTAAATATATATATATATATATATATATATATATATATATATATATATGGATAATAACTTCTCTAGTTGTAGCAGGAGTTACCTCTCTAGTCTCAACCTACAGAAACATAAAATGGTGGGTCTTGTAACACCCCGTGTATACCTGGTTTGTTAACATTACATCGTATTAAGCTGCGCTTAATAAAAATTGCGGAATATCTTTTTCTTTTCCAATTATGACGTCATATACTTAGCCAAGTTGATTATTTAATCAATTTCATAAAATATCGTATGTATGTAAATTGCAATAAGACGTCTACTGAAATACCTCAATATATAAATAAAGTGTGTATCTAAAATCACGGATCTACAACTCGTAGTCCGGACCATAATCCTGATACATTATTACAACTCCAAATAAAACAAGACATAAACAATACTATGTGTCATGGACAATCCCCATGCTCACCAAATCAACAGCGTCTCAACAAGATGATATACAATCATAAACTGAAGCTAAAAGCATAAAGCAGCATGCATAACCAGCATCCAACAAGTCAGCAAAATATAACAGCAATATCTAACTCAGCTCCGACCTCCTGCCGCCTGAGGTCTCAACCCCAACATTTACCTGAACCTGAAATAAGCGCTCCAAACGTGGGGTGAGATCTCTAACAAAAATCTCAGTAAGACAAGGGGTCCTCAAGGATCTTCCACCCCAAGCTCACTTACATGTGCAATATAAGTTCAAAAGCAATTTAACAATATAATTTCCAAAATAGTGCAATGCAGCAGATAATCATGTCATGTGGGTTATAACTATTCTACTGATCAGAGATATGCAGAAATACGTCTATTACCCACACAGTACCAGCCCATGCTGTACCCACCCCTAAAGGGCCACCCCATGGTTTCCCTTTAAGGCAAACACCACATAAATATCATACAACAATTGCACTTAACAGCTCCATAGCATTTCAATAAAACAGTACATGAAGACAACATCATGCATATAACCATACCCCCATGGGACATGGTGGAACCACAACATGGCTAAACCGAGGACAGGAAAGCTTACCTCTAAGCTAGCTATCCAAAGCCACAAGCTCAAAGTCCAACACACAGCAGATCACAATCTGATTTAGGACCAGCAAGTATATCAACATTCATAGCTCAAAAGCGTAAACATAAAGACTACGTTTTCATATTACGAATTATGTCTTAAGGCTTCTCACAAGCCATAAGCCCTTAATCATATGATTCAGACTTAGTTCAATTAAAACAGAAGTTCAACTTCATCAATCTAGGGTTCACAAACCCCCAATAGCCTACTGTACACACAACACAGCTACTGTTCTACGAAATCCCAGAATATCCGGATATTCCACTGGTACATATCCGGATATGCAATATCCGGATATCTCACTGTCCATATCTGGATATGCAATATCCGGATATGCAATATCCGGATATACAGATTCTCATATCATCCGGATATCCAAATCACCATATCCGGATATCCAATATCCGGATATTTCATGGGCAGATATCCGGATATTTCAAGACAGAATGCAGAAACTGCATTTCGTGAAGATATCCTTCCAAGGTTGGGTTTTTACCGATTATAAATACTTAAACATGCACTTCTAAGTGTGTTTGACATTACCCAACGTTAAGTTATCATCTTTTAGCCTTTAGATGCATCAAGGTTCAATTTTTAAGCTCAAGAATTAAAGTTAAAGTGTTGAACCACTCACCCAAGCTTCACACAGAAAAAGAAGTGCTCTTGGAGCTCACTAGAGGCT